TTGATAAGATCAGTGCAATTCCACATTATGACATGGCTGATTTAGTAAGCAATAAAAGAAAATATTACCCAACATTATTGAACACATCCCTCAATCTGGTGTAAATCTTCTGTTAAAGTCATTCCTTCTCCGTTTTCTGCACCCCCAACTGTTATACCTCATATTTGCTGTATATGCTCTGTATTTCATATGGGAGTCATTGGGAAGCATCATATTCTGCTGTGCTGGTGTGAGAGTGGAACAAAATGTCCCTTAGGTCCACATTTTTCTTTTTTATCTGTCATAAAGTATTCCTGTAGGTATTATGAAGGACAAAGAAATATGCTGCAGGACATCTTTGTTGTCTTCACACTGATCTCATGGAAAGATGTAGAAGCATTCCCTGGGGTCATTTGTTCCTTGAAAACATTCAGATGTGGGAAAAAGGGGGCTCTTCAGATGCTTGGGTTTGTATTCCTGGAAAGTGGAAAATAGTAAGCTGGCTTCCTGCTTTGCATCTAACTCAGACTCAATTTTACTTTTGATCAATGCTACCCTAACACCTGCTGAGCCTGTGACAATGGCGCAGTGTGGTGTGATCTAGTTGTGTTTAAGGGACATGATCCGAATATAAATGTTGACAAAAACAACAGAAATCCCTCCATGCATACTCATTAACTTAACTGAGGGATGGGATAAATGCTGCAATAACTGAGAAATGGGAAATATAATATTTAACTAAAACAGATATTAAGCAAACCTGGGTGAACTTTTTTTTTAGTGTGCAGAGGTTAATTGGAGAGATCAAAGCAACACAGAAGGTAAAATAACGCACATCAGAAGCCGTCACGTCATATTTAGTCGTATAGCTTTTTTCCAAAACAGAAGAACCACAGGGCGGATGTTAGATAGCAGATAAATGTTTCCTCGTGTGAGAGATGACACACTGAGTGACATCAGTGCGTTTGTGTGAAACTGAAATTGGCACAGGTTTCCTGCTCGGCGCCCTGCCTTCAAAAACAGTTCTGACGTTCGGAGCGGGCGGTCTGAAGTGTTCTATGTTTGACTGCAGCGTCAAGAGAACAGCTGTGGGGCTGAACCAGCGTTCATCGCACTCAAATGCCACCGTTTAAATGTGAGTCACGACCTGTTACTCACCTCTCCATCCTCACTGGGCTCGCAACGTCACAGTCAGGTGCTCCACGGGCTGCGGTCTACGAACATTGACCAAACATGGGAGGCTGTGGATGTGTTAGGACTGCTGAGCTGCTTTTAAAAATAAACTAAGCCAACTATGTTTTCCCGTTAATAGCATAAGCTGTGAATGACTTTCAGCTACAACCCAAACAAATGTTAACACAATAACTGTAAATTGACTGAATTACAGCCATTTTTGTGTTTTCTAAGATCGTCTTTAAGACCTTGTATCAGGTGTACATCCTACGTTTCCTGAAAATGTCATTAAAATCTATCAAGTAGTTTATGAGATGTTTTGCTAACAGGTAAACTAAGTTGACTTCAAATAATTAAAAACAAACTTTACAACAAATGTCTTGCACAATGTGTTGGTGCCAGAATATGATTTGTGGATCAATTACAGCTACACCAAAATGTAGCTCATTATCTGTAAAAGTCTCTAAGGCATAGCCCTTTTTGTGTTTCAGAAGGTCAATGTTTGTGGCAGCCATTTTGAATTGGATTAGCTTCATGAGTTTATCAGTTTTCAGTGTACATTCAGTGACATTTTCTTTTTTGATTTATTTTTCATTTTGATGTACTCATACATACACAGGCAAAAATGTAGTGCCAGGCCTTCAACGTTTGGCGACAGCCTGTTGATTAATTTGTTCTTTAGAGTGTATTCACCTGAGGAATTACAAAGTATGCAGCTTTAATCTTCACTAAACACGTCTCGAGGAACTCCTCTTCTTTGATTGCATCATTCTTTCATTCAGTTATGAGAGCCCGTGTTAATTAAAATTTCCAGGCTTCCAGCAAAATGAACTGTTGACCATTTAACTATGGAGACTCATCAGATAAAGAGACGCTGATTTGGGAATTACATAAGATTTGGCTTGTAGGTTAAACTCATTTTCAGCAAGTTATCTGAAAAATAATGAATGCAAATCTAGCTAATAAAACTGGTCGTAGCTTCAATTTAGATGGGAATTCATTAATTTCATTGTGACACATTTAGCTTTGATGGAAGGACAAATGAACTTGACAATACTCCAAATAAATATTCAAAGAAAACAAACAAACAAACAAAAAAAAATCAGATATCTGAAACATATTCTGGTTGCTTGCTACTCAATTGAACAAGACATGCTGTTAATGCGGGCAGCACGGTGGCGCAACTGGTAGAGCTGCTGCCTCTCAGCGAGCAGGTCCTTGGTTCAAACCCCGGTCCACGGGCCTTTCTCGGTGGAGTTTGCATGTTCTCTCTGTGCATGCGTGGGTTTTCTCCGGGTACTCCGGTTTCCTCCCACAGACCAAAAACATGCATGTTAGGCTGATTGGTAACTCTAAATTGTCCCTAGGTGTGAGTGAGAGAGTGAATGTCTGTTTGTCTCGTTTGTCTCTATGTGTCCCTGTGATGGACTTGCGACCCGTCCAGGGTGTACCCCGCCCCTCGCACAGTGATTGCTGGACATGGGCACCGGCGACCCCCGTGACCCAAAATGGAACAAGCGGGTAAAGATAATGGATGGATGGATGGATGGATGGATGGATGGATGGATGGATGGATG